TGAGTTAAATAGAGAGTTCTACATGTACCAATCGAAGAAATTCAAAAACGAAGTTGAAGTTATTAGTCAATATATGCAAAGTCCGAAAAAGCCTCATTTGGATGCGGCTCAATGGATCTTGAGATATGTCAAAGGTACAATCAATTACGATCGTTTGTACAAAAGAAGCGAAGACTGAAAGCTAAGCTGGATATAGTGATGTCGACTATGCAAGACACCACGATACCCGAAGATCAATCACTGGGTATGTGTTCAAACTCGGTTCGAGAATAATTTTTTGGTGTAACAAAAGACAACCAATAGTATCATTGTCAACTAAAGAAGCAGAGTACATAGCAGCAGCTGAAGCAGATCAGGAAAATACATGGTTAAAACTTTTGATCGAAGATTGGCACCAAAAAATTGAGTATCTAATGCTACTTCATTGCAACAACCAATTTACGATTCACCTAGCAGAAAATCCGGTGTTTCATGCTAGAACAAAGCATGTGGAGGTACACTACCATTTCATTAGAGAGAAAGTCTTGAAGGAAGAAATCGAGATGCAGTAGAACAAGACAGATGTTCAAGTGGCAGACTTGTTTACAAAAGAACCAAATACTGTCAAACATGAGAGTTTTCGCTACCAGCTCAACATGGCGCAATGAATGAGAACTCGTGCTAAGGGAGAGTGTTAAAATATCATCACTAGTCCAATAGGGTTAAGCCCAACCATTATATGAGTAACTATATTTATGTTAAGAAAATGATTTAGGGATGGTAGGAATCAATTTAGGAAAATGATTTAGATACTTTAGAAAAATGTTGAGCAATTTTAGGAATAGATTGCCTTCTATCTAGTATAAATACCTCTCCACCCTTATTTAGTTCATCTTCCCAAGAAATCTCAAGCAATACAAAGTATTTCTACATAGTGTTTTTGTAAATCTCTTCTCGATTGGTCTTAATTAAAGTGTGCGAGTGTTTCTCACAGAGAGTTGTGTTCAACATGAACGACACAACCAAAAATGTTGAAGCACAACCAAATCCGTCTAGAGCAATAATGCAAACAGAACAACCAATGCAACCTAGTTTATAGTAGAATGACCTATAGTTAATTAATAGAAATTGATTAATTAAATATTTTAGTTAATTAAGATTATCATTGAAGCTTATAATCTATAGGTCCATACGATCTCTTGCTAGCTTATAGTAACACTAAAAGATTCAATTTAATTACAAAATTGTGAAGTATTCCGATTAATATTTGATCTATTAGATATATTAAATATAAATGAGAAAATAGATTTAATTTGAAGTGTTCTATTGATATTTAATATATGAGATATATTAAATAAATAGGAAAAAAATATATTTAATTTAATTCATATATTAGATTTGTTAAATATAAATGAAAAAGTATATTAATTTAAAGGGTTTAAATTAATATTTAATATATTAAATTTGTTAAATATAAATGTAAAAGTATATTAATTTAAAGGATTTAAATTAATATTTAATATATTAGATATATTAAATAAATTAAAAAATATATATTTAATTTAAAAGGTTCAAATTAATATTTAATATATTAGATTTGTTAAATATAAATGAAAAAGTATATTAATTTGAAGGTTAAAATTAATATTTAATATATTAGATATATTAAAAAAGAAAAATATATTTATTGTATTTGATAAATTAAATATTAGAATGAATGTATATTGATACATTAACTTAAAAATATATTTGAAATTTGAATGAGATTCAAATTAGTTAAATATATATTATGATATGTTATAATATTTAAATATGATTTGAATAAGATATTATATCATAATATATTAGACATTCAAATATATTATTTGATAATGATTCTACAATAGTCCCTATAATTAAGATTTTGGGTTGAGCCAATGTAACCACTCAAAATTTTCTACCTAATTTAAGGTTGCCACTGTATATATATCATGAACATTGAATGCGTAAATATTTCATTTAAACTTTCATAAAAATCACGTTCATCTTAAAACACAACTATGGACTTACATGTTTTGAAAACATCTTTAAAACGACACAACAAAAAGCTAAATAAAATAAATAAACGTTTAAATCAAAAACATCATATTCTAGAAAGTCTAAGCAAATAAATACGATTACCCTATGCATGTGCCATGGTCTCGAGTTGCGATGTTGTCGTCAGCCATGCAGGAATGTCTTACCTTAATCTAAAATAGAAGTAGCACGTGGCTTGAGTATTTAAAGAAATATTGAGTACGTGACCCCACTATTGGGTCAAATGCAAGAATATGTAAATGCAATGACGAGACCTATCATAATAGTCTGTTTTCTTACGGCGGCTATCCTAACGGGCAACTTGGATTTGTAACTAATTTCCTACACTTGGCCCACACGTGCGAGTGTTTTTCCACCAGTCGGTTCGTACACCTCCTGAGCCCCTTTTCTTATCGGGCAAGCATTCTCTGGTAGCTCTCGATGTCAGACATCCATTAGAAGTAGCAATCGTCACAGCAACATTATGTTAAACATAATGTTCGTTCTCCTGCCTAATAGTGTACGCATTCATACCATCATAAAAGAATAGGGGTATCCCCTAATGCATGAACACACAATAATGCATGATGTCCCAACATTTTTCTATTTTCATTATCTTTTAATACAACCCTGCTGTCGTTTCGTACATATCATTTCACATAAGTTCTCATATCGTTTAACTTATCATTTATCATATCTTTCATGCATATGTTGGGATTGTATTTCAGGCTAGTTTGTCGTTTTACATGTCAATCATATCATATTATTCAGATTACATAAATATATCATATCCTAATGTTCCATGCTTCTAGACCTAACAATTTTCATCATTTACATATTATACCATAACATGTGACATCACAATATATCATATTATAACATGTCAATTTATCACATATCTCGTACCATAGCATATTTCATATCATTTTCATATCATATCACAACATATAAATATATATCGTTCATTCACATGTCGTATCATAATCATATCATTTCGTAAACACTTCGTAGTCATATCATTTCCATATGCATGCCCTAGCCATATCGTTTCCTAAATTTGTCATATTCTTATCGTCCTTATACATCTCATAGTCATATCATTTCATTAACCTACTAAGGTCATATCGTTTCCATATGCATATTCTAGCCATATCGTTTCCTAAACTTGTCATAGTCTTATCGTCATTATACATCTCGGAGTCGTATGATTCATGAACATACCTTAATCATATTGTTTCCCAAACATATCCTAAATCATATTGTTTTGTGAACGTATCATTGTCTTACCGTTATAGGAACACATCCTAACCATATCATTTCATGAACGTATCCAAGTCATACCATGAATACATCCTAACCATATCGTTCTATCAATCTATAATAATCATATCCTTTTCTATACATAACCTAACCATATCACTATGTCAATCATATCTTAGTAATATCGTTACATTAAGTTTATTGCATCTTTCTCGTATCCTATCTCACACATATCATTGAACACATCATAGCGTAAGAGTTATCATATCATTCACATATCATAACACATACCTAACACATCATAATCATATCAATTCATAAACAATTCACACATATCAAATTTATGACACGTGCAGAACCATAAAGCACGTGTAAACATCAAATATAATCATGTCGATAGTAAGGTTACTTACTTGGTTAGCTTAGGCTAGTGTTCCCAATTTATCCTTAATGAAAGTTCGATTTTATCTTATGTATCCAAGTCAACCTATATGAATCCATGACATCAATTTCAAGTTCAATTCTCTAAATTTTACTATGGTTTATGTGTTAAACTTCATGCGAGCATTAAAGAGTTTGCATAAATAATATCTTCGAACGTTATAATGGTGATAATAATAATAATAATATATATAAGATTTTGTGGTTTCTTGCGGTGTGATATTTTTGGTTTTATCTTTTAGTTTTGTTCACCAAATTTCTTTGTTATCCCTTATTTATTTTAATTTTGTAAATAAATATTACTAGTTAATTTTGTTAATACATTCTTCCAAATCTTCCTTTTTTTTAATAGATTTTTGACTACTAATCTAACATGATTAGCCTGATTTACTATACCTCATATAAAATTATTGGCATTTAATTTCTAATCCAAGCTAAATAATTGCAACAATATTTAGAAGATATAATATTTAGAAGATATAATATTTAGAAGATATAATTGGGTGTGATTTTCTAAAATAGATATTAGGATAAAAAGAAAGAAGACCTTAGTATATTACTTTAACAAATTGACTATATCATTATTCATGTAAATTGTACCGCTAATAAATCTGCTTGTATAGGTAAATTACTCGTAAATTTGCATACGCTAAAGTCCATTTTCCTTGACTTGTTGAGGAGAGATAATTGGGGGAAGTGAGAAATTAGTGGATAGATGGATTACTTACATTTATTTTTTTATTCACATAGTTAGATTCATGTGGGGTCTAGCAGGGGCTTTTGAATGTCTACTCCTAATGGGGGCTTTTGAACGGTCTACTCTTACTAAAGGGGTTTGTATGAGTCAATAAATATTAAGGAGAATCTCTTTCAAAAATATTTATAGTAAAGGGGAGAAGAAAATGTGTCAACATATCCTATCCTATGGTCTCAAGATTCAGGTAAGGCCTTTTGTGAACTGGTCGGCCATCAACTGTTTTTGATGTGGGAAGCAAGGACATTACCAATTTGAATGATCGGGCTTAGAAAAAGGAGCTGAATTTGACAAGATGGAAGAACGGGTACGTACACAAAGTATAGTAAAGTTGAAAGCGAAGACATATGGTTTGCTGATTTTAAACGATTTCAAGTCCATTTTGGGGAACCATTACGAAACTAATTTATATTATTGTCCAACAGAAAATAATAAATTCATTAAAAAATCACCGGCTGGTTGGTATGAATGTGGGAGCCACGTCAATTATTTATTGGAAGAAATCTGGTGGGCAGCGCGTAAAGGCTACAGCGTGTCCCTCGGCGATTAATCTGATCAATCTAAGTCCTCTTCCTTCATCTCCAAATCTATTTGACCTTCCTCTTCTTTTCTTCTTACTTCCCCTCCTTCCGCTCACTCTGCTCCCACTGCCCTTCTCATCTCTTTCAGGTTAATTCCTCTCCTTCTCTTCTGCATTTTAATTGTCTACTTTCACTTTTTTCTATTTTGATTTTGTTGCTGTTCTTCTGTTTCATCTTCTCTTCGTTTCTCTTTTTATCTCTTGGATCTTCTTCCGATCTGTTTGTTTGACTTTTCCGATCTCCACTTTGTCTTAACATTTAACCCCATCCTTCTCTTCATACTCAAGTTTCGATCCCTTATTAACCGCATTTCAAGTTTCTCTTCTGCAAATCCCACAATTGTTAATGCTTTTTATATCCTTTCTTCAGATCGACTGTTTTCTTTGTTAATGTTTAATTAATTTGGTCCAGTTTTAGAAAATTTCAACATACATGTTAACCTCCCTTGTAACTTATGACCACATGATGATATTTGATTCTGAAACCAAAGCTCTGAGTCTCTAGAATTTTGTTTCATCTTTCTGAGGCAACTATGCATTTACTTTATCATCTTTGAAATTGTACAAAGTAATAAATCTGAGAATTGTTCTAAATTTCTGCATTTGTAATTTACAATGAAGTTATGGCGTCTTCTGATAAACCTGAGATCGTGGAAAGGGGAGATAAAGAAAAAGACCAAAAGAAAGATGAAAATGAAGGGAAGGGTGGATTCATGGACAAAGTGAAAGATTTCATTCATGACATCGGCGAGAAGATTGAAGAAGCGATCGGTTTTGGGAAGCCGACTGCAGATGTCGCTGCAATTCATATTCCATCCATCAATCTTGAGAAGGCTGAGATTGTTGTTGATGTTCTGATTAAAAATCCTAATCCTGTTCCCATTCCCCTAATTGACATTGACTACTTGATAGAGAGTGATGGCAGGAAACTGATCTCTGGGTTGATTCCTGATGCTGGAACAATTCATGCTCATGGAGAGGAAACTGTCAAAATTCCTGTGAAGTTGGTTTATGATGATATAAAGAACACATATCATGACATTAAACCTGGCAGTATCATTCCTTACAGAATCAAGGTTGATCTCATTGTAGACGTGCCTGTTTTTGGGAGACTCACACTGCCACTTGAGAAAACTGGAGAGATCCCTATTCCTTACAAGCCCGACGTCGATATCGAGAAGATTCAATTCGATAGATTCTCGTTTGAAGAAACTGTTGCCATTCTCCACTTGAAATTGGAAAATAAGAATGACTTTGAGTTGGGATTGAAGGACATAGACTGTGAAGTTTGGCTCTCTGATGTTAGTATTGGACGTGCGGATCTCTCCGAATTTACACCCATTGATAAAAATGGGATAAGTTACGTCGACTTGCCCATCACCTTCAGGCCTAAGGACTTCGGTTCGGCACTCTGGGATATGATCAGAGGAAGAGGGACTGGCTACACCATAAAAGGGAATATTCATGTCGACACACCTTTCGGTGAGATGAAGCTGCCCATTGTTAAAGAGGGTGGTACTACTCGCCTCAAGAAGAATAATGAGGACGGTGACGAGGACGAGGACGAGGTATGAGATATCTTCTTCTCTTTTGTAAGCTACTACCATGAGTAACTTTCAAGTTTCAAAAAGAAAATTCCACTTGATTGAAAATAGATTCTCTCTCTTGAAACTTCACACTGCTCCAATGCCTGCTATTATTCACTAACTCTCTAAAGTTCTTTGTATATAATTATTAACATTGAGAAAACATATATAACCCCGAGTCGCCACAGTTAATGGTTCATATTCTTATACAAATAAGTTATTTAGACAACCTAAGTGAGAGTAGAGGTTATGAATGAAAAAAGGTGAATTCTATTGCTGAAAATTTGTTTCTTTTGTCTGTGGAGACATTCATTGTTGTGTTATATGAAGTTACTTGATGTTGTGGATGCAGGAATAAATAAAAGAGAATCATGTGGAGGAATAGTGGATCGTTTTCTTCTTTCCTCTTATTAGAAAATGTATTATGATGTTGTTTCATAAACATGGTATGGGATTGTTACGCCCTACTCTTTTGTTACTCAATTGTTATGGTATTGGCACACGTTGAATGGTGAGTTTCATGCTTGTGGAAAAAAGTGATATTACTGTTATCATCTTTTATTAGTTCCGGGATGAAGTCTACTTTTATTTACATCTCTAACTTAGATATTTCATTTTGGTTCATTTTTTGGTTTTATATTACTAGTTTATTTTGGGATCTATGGTTTTTGATGTTGCTGAACAACTCCAACGATTTCGCCATCTATTTGACGAGAAATTCTTGCAATTTCTCTGTTTGGATATCTGTTTGTTATTATTGTTCAAGAAATAAGGAAGATTGGGTGGGGGATGAAGGTTTGAATGCCTTTTTATTGGTTTCTCCAAGCAAAGTTCATATGCATACATTTTAGTTGCTATGAAATGGTCGATTCTAGTAACAATCTTGAGTGTGTATGTTTGAAGCAGACAGTGTAAAGTTAACAAGAATTACTAAGGTCATAAAAACTTATAGCAGCTGGAAGTGGACTTCATGTGTTCCAATAGTTTGGTTTTTTTCACTTTTCATTTAATTTCTCAATCATATAAATCCCCCAATTTCTACGTTTTATGTTTCTTGCCTTTTCTTTTCTTCTTTCATCTTCATCTCTTAATTATTCTCTTTCATTTGCCTGCGTCTTATGTGGAAACTCTTCGCTCTCTTGTCAATTCCTTCGAAAGTGCAACAATGTGTTCTTTATGGAAGCTATCCCATGTTGTAAATTTTAAGAACATAACATAAAAACCAAAAAAAACAAAGTATGGATTTTTTCCAAGTTCTCAAAATCGCGCAGTCAGATGACTTGATCCAATAATGGGTTCAGGTTGTAGAAATCCGAGCGAGACAACCCCTGTAGAGGATTTGCTCGAATTTTGGCCTCGACCTGTCCTTCAAGGATTCTTGAACGACCCTTTCTTTCTGTTGGGCCTTTACAATTGCCCTAATGCGGGTTGAATCCCTTTCCCCGACTCAATACCTTTTCCACTTTTACCCATAAATAAATGTATTAGAATTTGTACCCTAAAGTCTCGTAATGATATAATTTTGATTATTTTAGTTGCAATTTATGATCCATGGTACGAAAATTTTAAGGTTATAGTGTAATCTTCATTAGTATGTGTTAACCAATATGAGGGTCTGGTAATACTATTGATATGACTCACTTTGTAATTGTGTAATGACTCAATTTTCGAGTATTTGAATCTTCATCATGACTAAAAAGAAAAAAATAAAATAAAATAAAAATAAAAATAAAAAAATGTGAAAATAGTTGAGTATAAAAACATTTAGTAATCAACCTATAGACTCTCATCGTGTCATTATTCTAATAAGTTACGGTAGACTTTTCTCTAAATTTAGAAAGTTAATGCCTAATTCTATAGCTATTTGAAATTCTAGAAAGGACCCAAAGTTTCTAGTTGTTCTCTTACATGTCACAGACCCACAAGGCCTGGAAACCGTTCATTGGGTTCTGGCACCACATATTTCGTGGACAACAAATCTCATCTTGGAGTGAACCAACTTTTTGTTTCATGCTTAGTACACTTACATAGTCACACAATGAATGTCTGGTATCCGGGATGAGGCCTCATCATAACTATTTGGACCATATGACATTATATCTTTTGAAAATCATTTGTGCAAGGTTAGTTGGCGTCCCTTAACACAAACCACATTGCCCATTGTATCTAGGGGAGTAACTCTGCATGTCGGTCAACTACTAATCTAGCTATGTGGTTCCATGTCTCACTCTTAAGATTGATTTACGACGAATTGACCCTATTCAAGAGGCTCGAGATTGTTTCCATACTTACTAGGGGCACTTACTAGGATGACTAAAAAAAGGCTTAAAGAGTTGAAAGTCATTGCTATACTAACAAGATGCATCTTTCTTTTGTGTCGTTTAATCATAAAAACTCTAAAATTAAGCATGTTTGGCTCGTAGCAATTATGTATTTAGTGGCCTTTTGGAAATTTTTTAGAATGCATATGAGTAAAACAAAGTATGCTAGAAGGACCCGTGTTGGTATATTTGAGTAATCTTCACACTAATATACAAGGAGTAAGTAACATGATCATGTCATGTTAAAATATCATCACTAGTCTAATAGGGTCGAGCCCAATAATTATATGAGAACATTGTATATTTATTTTAGTAAATATGATTTAGGTATTTTGGGAATCAAGATACCTAGATATTTTAGGAAAATGATTTAAGTATTTGGGGAATAAATATATCTACATCTTAAATATTTTAGGAAAAAGATTTAGATATTTGAGAATAAAGGTGGAGAAATTTTAGGAATAGATTTTTTAAACACATAGTGCACTAGTTTTCTATGGTGTGTCTTGTAATCTCTTCTCGATTGGTCTTAATAAACTGTACGAGTGTTCCCACGGAGAGTTGTGTTAAAAAGTCTGGTATCAGAGTAAGAGGTTAGTGTAGGTTGTTTGATCTCTTGAAATTCTTAGTATGCTCTATGGTTGTAACTCTGTCTAATCTTTTACATCAGAAATGATTTCTTGAGATTATCAATGAGTGAGTTTCTTTGTGTCATAAGTAGTCCGTGACTCTACAAGTTTTTTGACGAAAAAGCTTGTTTGGTATTACTGAAGTATTGCCAACACGATGGGTGATTTCTAAATCGTTGGAGGAATCAAGAAACTCAACAACAACAACTACAACACGTGGGCAACATACATGAAGTCCTATTTACAAGAACATAACCTTTGGGAGATCGTTGGTGGGAGTGAAACTATGCCGCCAGAGGAGGATTCTAACAACACCTTGCACAAATGGAGAATCGAAGTAGGCAAAGCAATGTTTGCCTTGAAGACTACAACCGGAGAAGAGATGTTGTTCTCAAAGAAGAACGATACGAGGCTACAACTTCTAGAGAATGAGTTGTCAATTTTACAATGTGACATGACAATTGTTCATTACTTCCACAAAGTTAAGTCGATCTGCCGGAAGATTACTGAACTAGACCCGAAGTCTGCCATTGGAGATATCGAATGAAGAGAATCATTATCCATGAATTGCGACCAAAATATAGAAGTTTCGTTGTTGCTGTACAAAGATGGTCTGCTCAACCATCACTTGCTGATAAGAATCAAGATATTCCAAATGGACCTATTGTCAAGAAGATTCAAAAAATGTTTTCTGATTCGAGGACAAATCCTTTCGAAGAGGAGGAAGATGATAAGAATCACGATGTTCCAAATGGACATATTGTCAAGAAGATTAAAAAAATGTCATGAAGATTCAAAAATGTCAACAACATAATTCAAACCTATGCGGGGAGTGATGGTGTTAATATAACACATGCAGAAGCAATTTAGATCTTAGGCACTTTTAGAACATCAATTATAGTAAATAACTAGCATGTTCATAAATATTAAAACTTAAGAGTTTGAATACTAACCTTTTGTAGTTCAAATTCCTTTTTCCTCACGAACCGGTTTCGAACCACCACTAGTGTCTTCTCCACTATCCTCCGGCCTTAGAACGGGATTGTGGAATCCGGTGAGTGACTAAACTTGGGAGGGATTTTGTATATATGAAGAGAGTGTTTGTGAGAGGTTTTTCTCAATGTTTTTCACCAACAAGAACCATCTTCCATGTACCATGATCCCTCTATTTATAGAGTCATGTTTGCATGTTCAAGCAAATTTGAGATCACCAAATTTTGACACTCAAAATTCCACTCAAATGTTTGGGATTATGTGGCAAATGTGCATGCTTGAGTTAACCAAATTTTGACACTCAAAATTCCACTCAAATTTGTGGGGTTTATTTGGCAAGCATGCAAGTTTGGTTAAACCAAATTTTGACACCTCAAAATTCCACTAACATAGATTTTTCCATTAAATGAAGGTAACATTTTGACTTTCTTCATTTTGATTCAACAATCAATTTGAATTATTAATTTTAATTTTAAAGTAATATTAAATGATTAATATTTAATATTAATTCAAATGTCAATCCCAATTAATTCCGACACATATTTGATTAAGATATTTAAATCTTATTTAAATATCTCAGATTCTCTCTTTTTGTTTAATTCGTAAATAAAACAAAAATGCGATTAAATATATCGTATATATGTAGCGCATTCTCCCTAATTTGAATCCGAACACTTCGAACTCACTCGTCACACTATTTTATGGTTTAGTCTGATATGAGCTAGCAGAGAGACCTAATGGACCTATAGATCATGGGCTCCAACGATCCAAGATTAACCGGTTAAACTCATTAACCTTGTTAACCAACATTCGTTAACTACTAGAACATTTCACTATAGCTTAGTAGTTGCACTCCCCTCACTATAGATATATTTCTGTCCATTTGATATAACCATGATTAGTAAATCGATCCTTCACAGGTTTTTCGTAACTAGAGCTGGGTCAATTTACCGTTTTACCCCTAAAGTTACTTCTTGTTCCTTATGTCTCACTTATCCTCTAATGAACAATTGGTTTGTGGTTCAACCAGTAAACCGAATCTTTCTCAGGTCAATGAGAGGGTGGGGCCCCTTGTTCAAGACCTAGAGTCAGTATTTAAGGGAACTACCTCTCTTCTATCCCTAAAAGTGGGTAGGAGAAAATTCTATCTTGCACCTCACGTCCCCAGCCATTTACTGAGTCAACCGGGAGAGCTCAATTGATTTCAAATCTTTCGCCTTAGCCACTCAAGCACATAATATTTGTTAAAAAGAACTATTTTTAATTTTATAAATTATGTAAAAGTCAAATGGTCAATTTGACTTATTCTTTTGGGGAGATTAGAGGGGATCAGAAATAAATCTCGGCCACAAACGTCCTTTTTCGAGAGACTATAAATACCCACAATATGCTATGTAAAATTCAGATTGGTGGATGAATGTAATTCAGATCTCAAATTGAGACGTTTCTCTTAGAAATCCAAGCATCATATTTGTCATTTCTAAGTTTCAAGCAATTCTTGTGGTAGAATTGTACCCGAGCCTTTCAATCAAGCATTGATCAAGTTCGATTGTGGAGTGACTCAATTTTAGAACAAGGTTTCCAAATCTTGCTTCTAGATTTTTGATCGTAAGAGGTAATCTAATTCTAAC